TACCAGAGACGGGAAGGCACCGAGGAAGCGAGGCCCATCAAGCCCTGGCGAGGCTGCAGAACGGCGAAGTGCGATGATGACAGTGACTATCCACAGGATCTAGTGGCACTGGTGAGAGCTCCTCAGTGGGCAATGGAGGTGAAGGCCACATAGCAAGGAACGCCAGGGAGAAGGACGCGGTGAAGAGCTAAACCGCTCCGCTGGATGGGAGAGAGGGGCCAGGAAACGGAAATGGGTCTCAGCCAGGCTCTTTCCTGCTTTTTCGGTTTTAACAGAAGAAAACGTTGTGGGTATGAACGTCAACAGAAAGGATCTTCTAGGGTAGTGCTGGCCATGAGAGGCAGGAGAGAGGACTGAGGGATGCACAGTGGAAGGGCTCAGGAGGGTGTGGGGGCACGTCGCGGGAACGAGTGGCGAGGCCAGCCTAAGAGGCAGGGACATGGCGCCGTCGCACTGGGAAGGAAGGAAGGAGAGGGCAGGAGTCGAAGGCTGGCCTCTAGAACTCAGAGCTCCGGTCTCACTGTACGGTCACTGGGAACGATCAGTGCAGAGAAAAGACTGCAGGGAGAAGGGTGGGGCCAGCAGGTGGCGTGGTGGTTAGGGTGCTGGACTCCCACGTGGCCATCCACGGTTCAAGCCCTGGACCTGGAGGCGTGCTGAACACATGTACAAGCGTGCCCAAAATCGCGAGAAGAAAATGGAGAGGAGAATGCAGTGTGGCCACACCCCCTGGAGGGTGATTTCTCACTTCCCCTGACTCTGTGTCTCTCTCATGCCTGCATGTGCTCAACGGCAAAAACTTTAAAAAAAAAAAAAAAGAAAAAGAAATAATGGGGTAAAGATAAAGAGAATGGAGTAAAGACACACGCCAGATCCAGGGCCACCTTGGGTGGTGACCAGTGATCTGTGGAGAGCTCTGGGGAGACCTGCCGCTGCCTGAATAAACATGCTGTCAGGTGGCTCAGGCCCAGCCGGGCGTCGCCAGACAGCTGAACATGGAGCACTGGACTTTTGCTATGAGGAAAGAAAACCGAACATGGAAAACAGACAACTAACACTCAGATAAATACACTAAGGTTTCAAATAAATTCCACTAATTAAATTTAATTTTCTAAGTATATGACTAAATTATATTCTGTAAATCTTACTTAATGCAATTTCTAAACTCTTCTTTCTTCAAAATAGTTTCAATAATTTCAAACAAATGAATCCCTTGACATTATTTTATCTACGAAGTAGGCAAAACAATGACCTAAATGCAGATCACATATAATATTTATAACTAAAGTTTTCTTTCTGTGACTATAGACTGAGTCTATTATAAAAATATCTCCGTATTGGGAACAGCAAGGGAAAGAAAGGTAACAAGTCATAAGAATCCTACTTGAGAATTTTGGATGGAAAAAAGCCACCAACACCAGAACATGCTATCTAATTTCTCCTACCATTTTAACATTACTTCTTTTTTCTAGCAGAATTCGAAATAAATTCGGTGTAATCTTGTTGTCATGGACGCCTTGCCCCAGGCCTCGATTGTCATCTTGCATGAGTCTTCGATCCATGATAACTTCGATCTGACCTGACAAAAGACAAAGCAGGCAGGTTATCTCGCACGCGTGTTCCGTGAGCACCAGGTAGGCAGCAGACATGACGCTGCGTTCAACTTCCCCTCTAGTTAGACGTGGGTTCTGGAAAACCCGCCAGTACCATGGGCTTTTTCTTGGTATCAGGTCAAAGCAGTTAGTATCAATTCCTAACACAGGATATCATACCTGTTTTCTTCATTAATGTTGATTGTATCTGAAGAAAACTAAAAATGAGTGGACAAATCAAAATTTACATGATTCTCTTTTTCAAAAAAAAAAACTAAGGAAATTAAGTTATCTAAAACTTTCAGCGGCAGCATTTAGAATTTAAAAATGCTTATGCCACTTACTAGGAAATGCATATCAGTCGTGGAATAACAGGATACATATGTGGGGACTTCCCTCATTCTATTCATGGATTGAAACACTATTTTGCATTGCACCAAAGTGAACTTGTACTTTCATTCTATTTTTCCATGAATTTCTGAAGTCTCCTCATACAGATGGGCAGAATCTGAAGGTCTGCAAATACAATTTGGGTTCCTTGCTACGTGGGGAGGAAACCACTTGAGGGCCTGCAGGCTCCGCCTGGGCTAAGAGCCTTCCCGCACCCTGTGTGGGTGGCAGTCAGCGCCGTCATGCCTGGTTCCTTCCTGTGCTGCAGTAATTCCGAATTTCCTCAGTGGAAGTTGTAAGCCAATGATAGGCTATCCGAGCGAAGAAAAAACTCCAAAACGCAATGTGTACTCAAATAAGACACTGAAGGGAACCAGCAGTTAGCGTAAAAAGAAAAAACTCCAAAATGCAATGTGTACTCAGATAAGACACTGAAAGCTAAAGGTTCTATGTATGCTTACAAAAGTTTGCACATATACTTATTCATCACCTACTAAACAGTCATTCGGCAAACCAGGGAAGACAGGCAGCGTGAAGGTTTAGTAACGGTATGCCACGCTGTCTGACCCACTCTGTGCAGCCTCTTTCTCCTCTGCTTAGGTACTCGGCACGCAGAATTACCAGCGATGAGCAGATTTCTCACTGCTCCTGCCTCCACGTGTTCAGACAGTCATCGACGACTTACTCCCAGGCACAAGGGCCGACTGCCCGCACACCTATCTGCAGCTTGTCACTGCAACCCAAATCAGCTCATGGGTCTCTTCATAATTTTTTTCTTTTTTTCCTTTTCCCCCTTCCCTTCCCTTTCTTCTTCATCTTCAGCTTTAATTTTTTTATTTTTTTATGTTTTTGCCATATAGTGCATATGCTCACCAGGGACAAGACAGGGAGAGATGACTGTGAGAAATCATCTCCTGGATGGCAATGCTGCAATCCCTTCTTCTCCAGTCTCCTCCACGGATTCTGGGCGCACATGCACACGTGCCTGGCATGTTTGTCAAGTCCATGGCTTGCACCATGGCACTGGCCACATGGGATCCAGTGCCTTAACCACCATGCCATGCTTGCTCTGATGTCTTGCTCTGATTTCTAACGACCCCCTGCCTCCCAATGTGAGTCCCTGCAACACAGACACTGAGTGATTTCCTGGTCTGTATTCCACTGCAGGGGCACGTGGGTGTCTCTGGCGGGGCAGAGGGGCGTCAGTCCTAGCCTATCCTCCTCAGGAGGTGAGGCGATCCTGCTGAGCTCCTATCGCAAGAGCTCTAGTGTCTAGCCCTGCTTGAGGAGCGACTTTGGGAACTATAAGGCAGCCTTTAAAAATGGGTGGCTTGAGAGTCCCACGTGGCACAAAGATGTTTCATGCTTTCCCTGCACTGCGTTTAATTTTTAAACTCTGTCAACATTTCCAGATGAAACAACTTAACATAATCCCAGATTCTGGACTCTGTCAGCAACACGGGACGGGGCCTCTACCCCAAGGTGACAGTTAAAGAGCACTAAGCAGTGGCCGCCCACCGTATGTGGGAGCACACTCCCCAGTCCACTCAAGTCCCGACCACCCCATCAGACCCCTGCGGGAAGCCACTACCATTTCCATAATGGAATACGAGCCTGACAGCCCGAGTTCACAGGACTAAGCCTGGTGGAAAGCACACACGCACGACGAGAAGCAGCCGTTTTGCTGAGTGTGGAAGTACGGAATACACATTTGTCTAATATGAAATGTAGGCGAGGTTAGCCAGACGGCGTGGTGGTGAAGGTGCCTAGATCCCACATGGCCAACTGCATGGTTCAAATCTCGAACCTGGGGGCTTGAAAACCAAGCTGAGTGCATCTGCATGTGTGTCCAAAATCCCAAAAGGAGAATGGGGCAAAAGGGGTTGTGGCCTGGCCAACTGCCCTGGGGTGAGGATGGGGGGGTGCTTTCTTTCTCTTTTTCCCTCTCTGTCTCTCTCTATTGAGCCCATGCACCCAATAGCATAGCTGAAAAACAAAAACTAAAAAACCCAAAAACTAAACAAGAAAGTCCCATGGGTTTTGGTGCCAGATGGCACTCAGCAGTAAAACATGAGCTAATTCCACATAGGAAGGGTCTTGGCTCAAGCCCAGAGACGTCCCTGAGTACTCTGGGCATGCCCTTGTCCACGATCCAGAGCTAGCTGAGGGCTGGAGCGGGCTCATGTTTGGGGATCCTCTTGGGAGTGCTGTCTCACTCTTTGTGCCTCGCTCATAGAAAAAAATAAACTTAAAAAGAAAAGTTTGTGCTAAAGGACATAGGGGAGCTTAAAGTCATTTATCATCCATCTTGTTTCTTCAGACATTTATCTTTAACCGGTCTTACTATGTAAGAAAAAAGAGGAATTGGTAACATGTAAGATAACCAGTTAGGGGCCAGCAGGTGGTGTGGTGGTTAAGGTACTCGATTCCCACACGGCTTTCGAATGCCAGACCTTGCAGCTTGAAAATCACGTGAGCATGTGTGTGTGCGTGCATGCTCAAGATCCCAGGAGGAGAATGGGGTCACAGGGATTGCAGCGTAGCCACCTCCTCGGAGGGGTGATTTCTCACTTTCCCTCTCATTGTATCTCTCTGGCAAGCGCATATGCATTATGACAAAAATAACTTAAAAAAAAAAAAAGATAAGCAATTAAAAGTCAGTCCTACAAAAAAGGATCAAAGCCTCTTGATATAAAGTTTTACAAAAATCAATCAGTGTCTACTGTCTGCTTTTCCTCACTTTCTCTGGATTGCCTTCTCCCACTAACATCCATACAACAGTCTCTCTCTCTGTCTGTCTCTAATTTGCTGTGGTTGAGTGTGCTTACCAGACAGACACGGAGAAAGAGAGAGAGTGAGAAAGATCCCCGACGGGAGATAGTCATGCCACAGTCTCTCCTCCATCTCCCCTTCCTTTTTGGATTTTGGGCATGTACACACATGCACCTTTTGTGTCTCTCAAGCCACCAGGCCCAGGACTTGAACCACATAGTTGGCCAGATCCAGCTGCCTTAACCACCATGCCACTGGCAAGCCCAAAGCTGTATCTCTTTATTTGTCAATTTCTATCATTTTTCCTCCCTCCCATCTTTTGGCTAATAGTGAAGTAGAAAGGCTATCATTCAGAGAAGGACCACAGACTTTTAAACTATAACTTTCCACCCTTGCAAACTTGGGCAAATTATCTAAAATTTCAGAGTGTGAGTTTATACATCCATTAAACCATGATGGCGACAGAGTCCAAATAACGGCTATCGGGATTAAAAAACTGTCTTTAAAAAACAATCATGACATGGAGGTCTAGGTCCCCGTTCTTCATCTGAAGTTTGGGGAAATTCATCATTCTATGATGTTCTGACAGTACCTCGAATTAACTAAGTATGACTCTCAAAAGCAAAAAACTAGAAAGAAGATAGGGAGATTTTAACTGGAGATGATCATTTACATATTTGATCAGGGCCGGCAGGTGGCATGGTGGTTGAGGTGCTGGGCATGGCTGATCACAGTTTGAGTCCAGGACCAGGTGACCTGCTTTGTCACTTTTCGTTTCTCTCTCTCTGGTCAAATTTAAAATGATATATAAAATAGACATGTTTGACCAAGAGAAAAATCACACCCTTGGAATCGAAATCTTTCAGAACAAAAAATAATGTAAACGCAACATACCATTTGTGAAACTCGAAACGCCTAAAGACTGAGCAGAAAGCAGCGTCAGCCGACGTGTGGCATCCTGGATGTAGGCCATCGTGGTCATGGGGTAGACGTTGGCTTGAACAGGCAGTTTGCTCATTGTCATTCTAGGTTGAATCTATAAAACCAAACAATTCCCATTTCTTAAAAAAGTGATACTTACACATGTACTTTTACAAATTAGTATTGAGTACAGATGATTGTTCTTCCAAAGGAAAAAAGACAGCTCCTGTTCTTGTTCAAGGGAAGAGATAATTTAAAAATTAGAACGTTCTTTAAAACAATATGAAGAAAAATCACAAGGATCTCAGAAAACAATTTTTAAGTAGGAAAGGTAAAACTTGTCCAGATTTTAAAAATAGGCATTTCTATTTAAATTCAGAATGAAAATGCTTAACAGACTTCTAGCTCTCCAATATTTGCATAAAACAAATTATAAAGGTATTAAGTATTCATTTCTCATCGAAATCTAACATACTGCTTTTGTAATGAATGCTAAGTATAATAGCTCCCTATCCCCTTTCAAGAAATATCTCTTCCTATTCTTAAATCCATCTTAATAAATACCACAGATCCCCCCACCAAATCCTCTAACATATTACATTATAATCAAATGCATATTTATATTTTAAAACCATTCAACACTTACCCTTCTAGTTTAGTTTCAATATAGACACTCCTAAACTCCAATTTCTCACAGCCCCATGTCTGAATGCATGAAGTACAACTCTATCTTTAGTTTTTGAGAGAGACTCTTGGAATACAAAGGCAATCTTATTCACAGTGACTACCTTCAGGACCCTGTTATCAGTGAATCTCCTTCACACACATAAAACTCCATCTCCTCATTTAAACTCATGAAAGTCTGATGTGAAACTCAAAAGGGAGAAGTGCAAAGCTAACCTAACAGTTCATATTCTCTGCACTGAGGGGCCGGGTGGTGGTGCAGTGAGAAAACACGATGCTCTAGGAAGCCAACCTCATGGGAAGATGTTGGGTTCACACCTGGTGGCCTCATGTGTGAGCTAGGTACACGTGTGCTATGATCCAGGGCTGGCTGAAGCCAGGGGGTGGATGAGGACCTGTTGGGGCACTCACTCTCTCATTCAGAAAAAGATAGATCAATCAACTTAAGAAAACAATAATTAAGATGTACCAAGCCCCGCCAACAGATGGCACGGTTTTTAGTACTTTCCAAACTGGATACTTAATCCCATCATCAACCCTGCAGCAGGTCCCTCAGCTTTCTGTTGTACTGGGCTGACTAGTGTCCCCCCAAATCCATGTTCACCTACAACCTGTCAATGTAATTTTTTTTGAAGCAGAGCCTCTGCAGAAACAGATAAGGTCATACTAGAATAGGGTGGGCCCTAACCCAGTGACTGGTGTCCTTGAAAGAGAGAAGTCTGGGGACAGAGAGAATGCCAGGTGACAACAGGGGTAGAGATTGGAGTGATGCATCTACAACCCGAGGAATGCCAAGAACTGTCAGAAACCTCTAGGAGCTGGGAAAAGGCAAGGGAGGCCAGGTCCTTAGAGCCTTGGAGGAAACCTGGCCCGGCCAATGCCTACACACCTTGCTTTCAATGTCCAGCTTCTCGAAAGCCACTCAGCTGCTAGTAATGTGTATGGCAGCCCCAGGAAATTAATAAACTGGGAAAGAAACAACTACTAGGTTGTTGGACAAGTCATGTTGTATTTTCTTCTGTTTTTCTATATAAAAATGCATCATGACTTTTCTGACAGCCCATTATAAATAAATACAAATAATAATGATAATAAAAAGTTACCTTTTTAATAAAAAGAAAGAATGATCTGTTTCTTCTTCCTAACCCTGATCTTTTTACTCTGACTCGTATACTTAAACTCATCAAAAAATATTTTAAAAAGCCACAACTGTGTTCTTGCTGCCCTCTCCCACCTGTGGGTCTAGAATTCAAGGTTTATCCAAGTATTACTCTTTCCAAAGCTTAGAAAACGGCTTATTTCAAAAGCAGAAATACTTGGATTATAGTTTCAAAAATAGTATTTTTCTTATTGATTCAAATGTTCAATCCTTGAAAAGAAAATTCACATTGCTAGTTATTCATTTTTCACTAAATTCTCTCATTCATGCACACACCCACACATACAATTAATTGCTTCTGTAAGATTTTCTGAAAAGACTTTCTTTTCCTCTTTTGTATACAGAGAAAATGAATCACCATAAAGTCAGGGTTTCATTTGAAAGCCAAACGGTGGTAGTAGAATTAGCATGGTAATTCGGAGTGTATGCTACAATTTTTATGCTTTGGAAAAGGTTTAAATTTAACATTTTCAAAACATCACACAGGAGAAAAATTTCACAATCATTTCCACTCATCCCCAGTTGAAAACCAGCAGCATAAAAATATTTGTTATGAGATTATTTTTATTCATAGCTAGAAATTTCTAAAATGCTAATGTTTCAAAAGCATGCTCATGTTTTTCATAGTATTATTTCAATGATCTGTTGTCACATATACATCTGGGGTCATTGAAAAGTTCATTGAAATGAACACATGAAAAAACTATGTATGAATTTCACCATTTTTTGAGTATCAACATAAATTAGTACTTTAATTCCATTTTTCAGTGAATTTGTTGAAGTTCCTCATACAGTCACAACACAGACTTAGACAGCAATCAAAATAACTCTATTGGAGAACTGACAATCTGAAAAAACTGTAGCATTTTGTTACTGTTATTTAAAACCGTCTCATGATCATTTTGACTAAATACATACCTGTCTACATTTCCTTTTTTATGGTAATTGCCAGAGGGCCCCTGTGCTCATCAGAGAGAGTGAGAGAGAACTAGCAATGGGGTGTGGTCACACCACGACCCTGTTTTCAACTGTCCACTCTGTCAGGATCTTGGGCACATGTGCCCAATGTGTTTTCCGAGCCACCACGGCCAGGATTTGAACGACAGTTGGTCATGTGGGATCTGGTTCCCTATGCGCTGGGCTTAACTGCTGTGCTATAGGGCCAGTACACAGCCTACATGTGTAAAGAGATATATGTTTGTCTATGTATATAAGGATACATGTGTGTATATGTGCACATTTACACACGCTTCAATAAAGAGAGACTTTCATGAAAATTTTAAAAAGCCTGTTATCAGATCATATATTAATATATATATATGTATGTGTGTATATGTATATATATATATATATATAAATAAACTACATATGCAT